GATAGGGTGGTCTGGTTGGATGCTCCTCAGAGAATTGATGTGGACGACTCGATGGGCCAAAAGTCCTGCTTTCACACTGTAGACATTCGAAGATTATAAGTTTATTCTGCAATGACCAAGCAAGCCATTCCGTCACATTCAAGGCAGCTCACGACCATCTTCTCAAGGGCAATTAGGGATGGGTAACAAATGCAGGTCTTGCTACTAATGTGCACACACCTCTCTTGACAGAACAAAGTAATAAAATTATAAAATATTTTATGTGTATTATGTAATAGTGATGTTTATGTTCAGTTCTGTTCTCAAGAAGAGTTATATTGGACTCAAAACGTTAACTCTGTTTTCTCTTCACAGATGCTGCTGGGCCTGCTGAGGTTCTCCTGCAATTTCTGGTTTTGTTCAATGTGGATATTGTGGATGGTTCAGCATTTAGTTTCAATGTGTTCTCGCTATCGTTATGGAGGCAAATGCAGCAACAGCCAGTCAGTGCTCAGCAAGATCCCATCTACAGCTTTGAGATAAATGATAAGTTGTTGATGATTGGGAAATTAGCATGCAAAAGATTATCAACTGGAAGACAGCCTAGGATTTTCTTTGACTCAAAGTCACACTGGAGGAATCCATTGATCCAGTTTTGAAACTCTGCTTATACCTACAACAGTTCTAAAGCATAAATTCCCCTGATCAGCAGAAAGAAAATTGTAACATTAAGGGGATTAATTATTACAATAAGCTCAAAAGACTGAGGGTTAATTGGATTGAGGTAGCAGAGCTAATTAAGGGAATAGACTGCATTCCAGTTGACAGTATGCTCCATTTAAACAGGTTAAGGAGGAGCAGGGTTCAGCATTGTTCAGGCCAAAGGAAGTTAGATGGTGAGAAGTGGTTCTTTTGCAGTCTGTCATTTCGTGTGGCGAACACTATTTCACTGAATTCCTTCTGTCGGGACCCTGTTTCTGATTGAGATCGAGATCATCCTTTATAACGGAAATTCAGGACCAACTTGATCACCTCGGGGGTGGGGTAAGGAGTGTGTAATGTTGGAGAAGAATTTCCCAGACTTTCCTTCCACACTCCCTTCCTGCATTGACTGGGCTTTCTATCTGGCTTCCCAGTTTTACAAAGTGCCTGCATGGGCTCAGGGCGTGGGACAGGCTGATTGACCTGTGCATTATTTTCTATTCAACAATTTTCCTTGGGATTGAGATGGATCACCAGAAAGTGTGGACAATGTATAAACCTGTTCAATCTGTAGGATTATCTCCATATTCAGTTGTTCACTGGTTGCTGTCCTGTTTTTTAATTCGCTTATGGGATGTGGGTTTTGCTGGCAAAGCCAGCATTTATTGCCCATCCCTAATTGCCCTTGAACTGAGTGGCTTGCTGAGCCAATTTAGAGGGCAGTTAAAAGTCAATCACATTCTTGTGGGTCTGGAGTCACATGTAGGCCAGCCCAGGGAAGGGTATTATTGAACGAAATGTTTCCCTGAAAGACATTGTTGAACCAGATGGATTTTAACAACATTGACAATGGTTGCATCACTATCTTTAGGCTAGCTTACAATTCCAGGTTCTTGTGGAATTTATCTCCATGGTGAGATTCAAACTCATGTTCCCAGAACATTAAACCCTGGGGTTCTGGATTACGAGTTGACATTTTACCATCGACTCCCCATTTTCCACTCTTAAAAACATATGCTCCTGAAACGAGTGTCTTAGAAGATGTTGTCAATGTCCAGGGGATGTATGCAGAGGCAAGGGACAGGAACATCTTATAAATAATTAATCATGGTGACTGTATCCATCTAAAGAGTGAGCGTTTCTGCTCCAAGAATACTCCCAGTATTCTCTGCTCTTCACTGGCCAACCTCATGTCTCACTGCTCCTAATGTTCTGTTTATTGGTTTCCCACTCCCCTCTTGTGGGTTTCCAGAGTCAAGCTCCACTCCCTTGCTGTGTCGGATTTACTTTACCACAGACCCACCTTCTGTCTCTTGTTAATGTCCCTTCTTCCTATTCCTCCTGCTTCCAGTCCGTGTGCAGGCGGGAAACTGAGCAGGAAGTCTGTAAACATTATCATCAAACGTCATCACCTCAGAAGTAGCACAGTGACTGAGACTATTTTTGGATCGTGGATGCTTGTTGAGTTTTGTTCGGATGAATTGGGAGGTGTTTCCTTTTGTAGTAAGTATTTCATGGCACAGACGGAGGCCAGTCTGACCATTCTGCCTGTGCTGGCTTTTTGGAAATTTGTTTCAGTAAACTCAGGGCATGCAATCTTTTCCCTTTGAGTATTTGTCTGACTTCCACTTTATGACGGGTACCTACTGAATCTGCTACCACTGCCCTTTCAGGCAACACATTCCAGATCTCGATAACATAGTGTGAAGCTGGAGGAACACAGCAGGCCAGGCAGCATCAGAGAAGCAGAAAAGCTAACGTTTGGAGTCAGGACCCTTCTTCAGATTCATCAGAAAAACATCATCCTTATGGTTATCCAGCCCATGATCTTATTGCTAATGATGCAACTGCATCGATGGTGGGAGCAAAGCAGCTGGCCATTCATTGTATCATCCTTGGTATCAAGGAGCCCCTATCTGTATAACCAGTGACATCAATGAGCCAGTTATCAGGTGAATGTCACCATTCTGCATTTCACATTGAACTCCTGACTGACATTTCTAAGAAACCTAAGCTGCTCCCATTCTTCTAACTCAGGTACATTTCTGTTTATTTAAAGCTTGAACAAAATGTTTTGAATGAATCATAGCAAAAGACATGTTATTTTATTCATTCATTGGATTTGGGCATTGTTTGCTGGATCAGCATTTTATTGCTATCCCTAGTTGCCCTTGAGAAGGTGGTGGTGAGCTGCCTTCTTGTATTGTTGCAGTCTATGTGCTGTAGGTAGACCCACAATGCTGTTAGGGAGGGAGTTCTAGGATTTTGACCCAGTGATACTGAATGAACAGCGATATATTTCCAAATCAGGATGGTGAGTGGCTTGAAGGGGAAAAAGGGGATCCCTTGTCATTCTGGGTGATAGTGTGTGTGGGTTTGGAGGGCTATCTAAACAGCCTTGCAGTATTGCTACAGTGCTCCCTGTGGATGGAATCTCAGTGCTGGAGCTCATGAATATTGAAGATGGTTAATAGGTTGCCCTCCAAGCAAACTTAGACTGAAATGGGCAAGACTTTCTGAGTCGAGTTTAGTTTGGATCTACTGCACAAATTCAGCAATAACATACTGTTGGAGTGAAATGTTGCTTTTGTGCAGCTAACTAGAGCAACACAGCTCGAACAGCAATTTTATTTATTTCTGTGTTTAATCAGAAGTTTGAATTTGTTATGTGTAAACTGTTTATAAACAACAGTAAGTGCCATTAACCTTGTTGACAATGATTCATGGGCTAAGTAACCATGAATGACACCAACCACAAACTAAGCAGAAACCTGATATAGAGTCATGGTCATACAGCATGGAAACCGACACTTCGGTTCAGCTAGTCCATGCCGAACATAATCCCAAATTAAATTAGATCCACTTGCCTGCTCCTGGCCCATATCCCTACAAACCTTACCCATTCACATACTTATCCAAATGTCTTTTCAACATTGTAATTATACCCACATCCACCATTTACTCAGCAAGTTCATTCCACTATCTGTGTAAAAATTGCCCACATGTCTTTTTTTCAAATCTCTCTTCTCATCTTAAAAAAGTCTTGAAATTCCCAACCTATGGAAAAGACCTTTAACACTATCTATATTCCTCATTATTTTATGAACTTCTATAAGGTCGCCTCTCAACCTCCTACAATTAAGTGAAAAAAGTCCCAGCCTATCCATTCTTTCTTATAATTTTATAACTGTTACATAATGGGAACCAAAAGCAATTCCTCGGCTCTGCATACTCATCAACTATACATCACAGTCTCCCTCAATCAGGTATTTTAATTATTTCGCTGCAGCACAGAAGTTTGTAAAATCATGAGGGCCATGGATAAGGTGAATAGCCACGGTCTTTTTCCACAGGGTAGGGGAGTCCAAACTAGAGGGCATAGGTTTATGCTGAGAGGGGAAAGATTTAAAAGGGACCTCAAGAAGCCAGAGGAAGTTGTGGAGGCTGGTACAACATTTAAAAGGCATGTGGATGGGTATATGAATAGGATGGGTTTTTGAGGGATATGGACCAAATGCTGGCAAATGGGACTAGATTAATTTAGGATATCTGGTCAGCATGAATGAGATGGGCTGAAGGGTCTATTTCCATGCTATACATTTCTATGACTCTATGACTCTATTTCAACACTGAAAAAGGAATAATAGTTTAAAAACCAACAAATAGATTGTTAGTTCGCAGATCCAAAATCAGTGGACAGTATGACAAGCGACAGAGAGAGAAAGGTAGGAATTATATTGTGTGTTGGTCTTTGGGGCTGAAATTGGCCTGTACAGCTCCTGAAGTTTGGGTATCACGGCAGCCTAACGTAGCAGTGGGGCAGCCTATCAGATCTGCTTAGGCCTTTGTCCCACTAACAAATTCACAGACGCCTTTAAGTCTCACATAGACAGACACCATTTCTCATGGAAATGTTAACAAGGGGCCTTACGCTGTTGCAGGACCCTTGGAGAGCTGTATCATTGACGTGGGAAGCAAGCATTGTGTCTTCTATCGTCTACCCACTCATTATTCTCCTCCCAAAACCGACGTCCACTCTTTAGCAGTCTAACTTGATCTAAAAAAGTGCCGATGAAAGCTGATGTTTGCATTAAAACTGCAGGGTAATTCTGGAAACGAGAAAAAAAACTCAACGAAATTTTCCAATCTGAATTTTCTATTCCGCTAAATATTTAATATTCAGATCTAATCAGAAAAAAAAGGGAGGATCACAGTTCATGGAAATAAGCCTGAGTTAGCCTTGCATAGAACTGGCGAACGGATCAAGGATTCGGACGCAGTTAGCTGGGCAGTACGTTGTGCTGGTCCTTTCCACCTCTCAGTCAAGCTGCCAGTATAGTGACCAGCAAGGAGCGGAGATGGACCAGGGCAATTCCAATCATCGAAACGGTGTAGATGTTCCCGGCTGCAGTCACTTTCAGTGTCGGTAGGGATTTCGTGCTTAACGTAACAGTCGATCCTGGGCTGACCGTGCTTGCAGCGGAGTAGTTTTGCGCATTCTGGGTACTTGTATTATTTGGCAGGAGCCTTATCATGGATCTGTGGTGGCGATTAACTAAATCTGCCCCGTACTCCTTGTAATTGAACTTCTTGCCGTACCGTGCAGTGATGTGCTCAACCCAATTCAGGTAGGACTTGGTCACAGTGAATACTCCAGGCCACCGCTTCTCATTATCAGTGATCCAACTGACAACCCCAATCAAGAAATACTGCTGCGTGCTGTTAAGTTTGCAAACGAGAGGGCCGCCGCTATCCAAGTGACAACCAATCCGTTCATTCTCTTCAAACTCCATGCACATCATTGTCGGTTGAAGATTGCCACCGAAAACTGTGGTGTTGCATTCTCTGAAGGAGATGATCTTTATAGGTGCATCCTGCAAAGTATCCGTGGTATCTTCACCCGTCTTCATCCAGCCTGTGATTCGACAGTTCAGCCAGATGTTCCCAAAGAAGATCTCATCGTCGGGAAAACACACAGGCATAGCGTACTTCCCGAAGATGATGCGCTCGCTCACCCTCACTAACGCCAGGTCATTTTCCCCTGTTTCCACATCAAACCCATCGTGCAAAATGACGTTCCGCGGGTTGGAGTAGCGTACCCAAGTTTCTGGTGCCAGTTGCTTGTTTAATCCGATGACCACCACAATGTCCTGCAAGCTTTGTGAAATGGGCGGCATGAAGCAATGGGCGGCGGTGATGATCCAGAATTCATTGATGATAGCTCCGCCACAGAAGTGCCTGTTCTCCACCGCCATCTCAATGCTGACTTGCCAAGGCCAGGGGCTGGGCAGGGGTTCCCCTTGGAAAGACTTCTTGACCACCCAGCGAGTTCCACACTTGACATGGTTCTCGGCCAAGAGTGGAGCACCTAAGAGATACATCAGAATCACTAGAGCACTGAGAGAGACAAATGTCATCGCGTGTTTCTCTTAGCACATTCCTTTTGGCCATATGGCGTTGGGCCCTGAAATGAGGCCAGTTTTGGTGTTTTGGCTTGCGTTGGGTTGGGGTGCGCTCTATTCTGGAGGAGGAAGGAAGGTGACACCAGGATGAATGAGTTTTGCATGAGCTGGAGGTTTGTGTTTGTGAGGTCACAGCTCTTTAATATAGCGAGAAGATCATGTGATAAGTCAGCAAGTAATGATATCACCGGGAATTATGATGTCACTGCAGGAGTTGCTTCAGAAGTTAAAGCCTTTTGAACATTTTTATTTTCATTTCCATTTCAGTCCAATCTGCCCCACGACCCAATCAATCATCAGGGTCACCCCTACTTAACCCTTGCCTTGGTGAGCTGCACTCCATACTGAACCCACTCTGGTGTTCAGTTACAGGTTATTTAGCAAAGATGTGATAACGTTCTTTCAGTGACTTACCATTTGCTAGCTGATGATCAAATGGATGGAACACCGCCAACCTGGTTGGCTAGCTACCAGGAGTATCCATTAGTAGCTGGAATACTTAGCTCCAAGAGATGCTGCTTTAAGATCATACAAAAAGTGTAGGGATGCCACAGACAACAGCTTTGGTCATCCACTATTAGATCTGGCTGGAGCACACGAAACAGTCTGGTCTGCTCTCCTCTGCCAGAACTGCTCACATTTCCAGGAACATCCTGGAATGCAAAAATAATGCTTAATTTCTTTTGTCTAATGCAAATCATCTTCTTCACAAGTCATCTCCCCTGGACCCTGAATACTTACCTCTATCAGTATGTGTGAGGACTTCCTTGTCATGAAGAGTGAAGTGTTCCAATCTGCAGCCTGTCATAACTAGTTACCTGGTCACCTCGGATCTAAATTGGAATTGTACTCTTGTTTCTTTCTTATCTCTTCTGGTGCCCTTTATGAACACACCTTGTTGTTTAAACACAACTCCTGCTCCTCCTGTCTGCCAATGTTAACAAATATTGTTAGTGCTTCATGCCCTTCGAGATGTTAGATCAATCTGTCATCATCACCACCACCTGCTCCCCTCCACCCCCCACCCCCCACCACCCCTACCCCCCTGCCCAACAATCATTTCCCATCAGTCTGGAAATGTATGTTCAAATGCCTCCATTCACATTTCTAGCCCTGCCACACAATACCAAAGTACCTCTTACCGAAGTCACCACTGGTACCCTATGTGTTTGTGACAAAAGTCATGTTTTCTTGATTCATTTATGGGATGAGGGTGTCACTGGCTGAGCCAGCATTTATTGCCCATCCTTAGTTGCCCTTGGGAAGATGGGGATGAGCTGACCTCTTGAACTGCTGCAATCCATGTGTTTTTAAAGATGCCCACAGGATGCTGCTAGGTAGGGCGTTCCAGGATTTTGATTGCAGACTAAAGGAATGGCAATGTATTTCCAAGTCAGGATGGTGAGTGGCTTGGAGAGAAACTTGCAGGTGGTGGTGGCCCCAAGTATCTGCTGCCCTTGTCCTTCAAGCATGGCTGAGTTTCTGCAGAACATCTTGTATAGAGTACACAGCTACATAATACTGCCCCATTGGTGCTGGAGTAAATGTATTTTTAATTCATTAAATGGATTGCCAATGAAGTGGGCTGCTTTGTCCTGGATGGTGTCAAACCTCTTCAGTGTTGTTGGAGCTTCACCTATCCAGGCAAGTGAGGAGTATTCCATCACACTCCTGACTTGTGCCTTGTAGACGGTGAGCATGCTTTAAGGTGTCAGGATGTGAGTTACTCATCATAGAATTCCTAGCCTATAACATTTTCTTGTAGCCATAGTGTTTATATACCTAGTCCAATTCAGTTTCTGGTCAATGGTGACACACAGGTTATTGATAGTACGGGATTCAGTGATGGTAGTGCCATCAAATGTCAAGGTTAGATTGTTGAAGATGGTCATTGCCTGACACATGTGGAGCACAAGTGTTACTTGCCATTCATCAGCCAAAGTCTGGATATTTCCCAGGACTTGCTGCATTGGACTTGGACTGGTTCAGTATCTGAGGAGTCGCAAATGGTGCTGAACATTATTCAGTCACTGGCAAGCACCCTGACTTCTGACCTTATGATAGAAGGAAATTCATTGATGAAGCAGCTGAAGATGGTTGGGCCAAACATTCCTTGAGGAACTCCTGAGACAGGTTCTGGGATTGAGATGATTGGGACTGAAAACAATGGCTTTGGTTTTCCCAATATTTAATATGGGAACGTATCTGCACATCCAGTACTGGGTGTCTGTCAAATTTGCAGTATAATTTAGCAACAGTGGAGGAATCAAGAACATTTCCAGTAAGGTACAGCTGGCTATCACCAGCACATGTATCAAAACTGATGCTGCGTTTTTAGATGATGTGACTAAGAGGCCACTTGTAGACAAGAAATAGGAGTGGTCTAGGATAGATGTTTGAGGGACTCCACAGTTAACAGCGCAGGAGCAGGAAGAGATACCATTGCAAGTGACTTTCTGACTACAATGAGATGGATAATAATGGAAACAGGCAAAAAAAACAGTTGTACCCACATCGGTGGAGTCGGTTAAGGACAAGGAGTGGTTTAGTTGTTGTTGTTGTCAGTGGTTTAGCTGACCCTGTCAAAAGCAACTAATGAGTTGAGAAGGACGAAGGGGACAAGTTTACCACAGTCACAGTCACACAGGTTGTCGTATGTAAATTTACTAAAAGCCACTTGTGTATCATAGCATGGTTAAAGGCAATAATGTTTCCCCTTAATAGAGGGATCTGTAACTGGGAGGGGGAGTGAGAAGGGGTGGGGTACAGCTTCAAAGTAAGGAACAGGAGGCTTAGAGATGATTTGAGAACATTTTTTCAGAGATTGGTGGCTATCTGGAACTCACTGCCTACAAAGGTGAAAGAGGCAGGAATCCTCTAGACATTGAAGATTGGAGAGTTCGTGGAGTTCTGGGAAAGCTGAGGATGGACTTTGGAGGTGACAGCATGTTGAAGGAGCGTGGTGAGGAAAGCAGGGTTGGAGAAGGGGTGATAGTTTGTGAGGAGGCTTCTGAAGAAGAGTCTAGGCCTGAAACGTCAGCCTTCCTGCTCCTATGATGCTGCTTGGCCTGCTGTGTTCATCCAGCTCTACACCTTATTATCTCATAGTTTGTGAGGATGTAGATTTAAGGGCTGTTTTGTTTTGAGAAGAGTGATGCCAGATGATCGCATATGGGCAGTGCTATTCCCTGTAACAGTTGTACTGCACCATGACTTAGCCTCTTTACTCAGGCTTGACTCACACGACAGAGTTTAGTAAGATGCCGAAGTGTTTGGAGGATTGCAGGCCAGCGCAGAAAGCATTGGAAGAGGTGATTCTGGAGTTAACAAACACATCTGTGAGGTTTTCAGCAGCAACTGGACTGAGGTAAATTTGGAGTCAGGTGCAAGGTTGCAAGCTCTGTGACTTAACCTGACATTGTAGTCAGGGAGTGAGATATTGTTCATGATGATATACAAATCTAACGATTTATTTCAATTTTTTTAAGCAACCATTCAGTTTTCATTGACTGTCACATTTTCCTTACTACAGTGTGAATGGAATAACATTGTTTGAAAGCCCAAGTTTCAACCCCTAAAATGGAAAGTGGAGAAATATTAATGTAGAAACGTTCACAATGGTTGCTGCTATTCTGTCAATGAGAAACTTCTTGAAGGAACTGGTGGAAGAATTCTTTTGTCCTTTTTCTCATTAAGCATTTTCCAGGAACCTGCTTCTGAATTTTCCATCAAAGATATTATTTAGTGATAAACCCAAGAGAAGGCAAATCGGTAATCAGCTAGAGAGAAATTAGAAAAAGAAAAGTACAATAAATTAATTATTAAAGTATTTCAAAATGTATTTTAATTACAACAATAATTAAGTCCTGAAAGAATGAAATTACATATTTGTAAAACTTAATTGTTAGTGTCAGAAATGTTGTTTGACAGTAATTAAATTCAGTAGATGTACTCAGGCTCAAATACTGACACAAAGGAAGAGAGAGAATAAGAAAGGAATCTGAAAAAAAAGAACAGCATTCCAAAAGATGGTAATGAACTAAAAGTAAAAAGAGAAAAATATCTTAAACTATTTCTGAACTCTGTTGGTACACTTTGTCATTGAATTATGTACTTCTTTTGTGAAATTTAGATGCTTCTGAAAGTTAAGCAAACTATTACTGTTAAAATCAACTGCCAGTTTTGTTGCACCCACAAGTTGTTCAATTATTTTCATGTAGATTACAGTGTACCTTACTATTAAACCGATATTACACTGGAATGAACTTGGGAATTGTTGATTGTAAACCACATATAATCTTCAGCTCTTCTTCTCTGTGTAGCTTGTAGCTTTTCTTTCCTCTGGATGAAAAATGCACCACCTACACCATATAGTTTCAGCTTTGTAGGCTATCACTTCTGGCTCACAAGCATCCAATCTGACAGGATAGAGATGCTCACTCCTGTATCAAGCTTAAAATTAACAAGATGTAAATATGTTATGTGAAACTTGAGATGGTTGCATCACTAGTTTTGTTTAAATAAGCAACATTTTTCAGAAACATTAGCATATACACCTGGACCAAGTGCTGGAAAACGGGACTTGTGTAGATTTAGAGATTTGGGGGGCAGCATGGTGTCTCAATGATTAGCACTGCTGCCTCACAGCACCAGAGACCCAGGTTCAATTCCAGCCTTGGGCTGTGTGGTATTTGCACATTCTCCCTGTGTCTGTGTGGGTTTCCTCTGGGTGGTCCGGTTTCCTCCTACATGCTAAAGATGTACATGTTAGGTGGATTGGCCATGCTAAATTGTCCTAAGTGCCCAGGGATGTTTAGCTTAGGTGGATTGGCCATGAGGAAATGCAGGTCTATAGGAATAGGGTACAGGGTGGGATGCTCTTCAAAGGGTCACTGTGGACCTGCTGGGCTGAATGGCCTGTTCCACACTGTAGCAATTCTAGAGTTTTATTTGTC